TGAGTTCAGAACTCTTATAGAGAGGTTACATTCTTACAAGAATGATCGTGAGAAGGCTTGGGAAATTTATAGAAATATTGTAAATAATGATCTTATAGTTCATATGAAAATGGATCACATGGAATTATTGCTTAACCTTTTATGTGACAACCCAGATAATAAGACTTTTGAATTACTTGATCAAGTCATGAAAGATGTTTATTTGTTTCGTAAAAAGAATTTAATGAGACCTATTCTTTATGCACGAGTGTTAAAATTATCGGTGCAACTAGGAAATTACAAGATTGTAGCTGATATTATAAGGCAAATGACAACTTTGGGATATTACATTGAAAGACCGCATGTTAAAGAAATAGTAAAGCAATGTGTTGATGCTGAATCAGCATACAGGATTCTTGATGCTGTCATTGTAAGTCATTCTGAAGCTGACAGCGAATGGTATCATACATTGATCGAGATTTACTGTGAAAATGAAGACATTAATTCTGCTTTAGAAGTACTTAGGCTATACAATTTATCAGGACAGAGACCTAGAATAAAATTTTATAGTGCTATAATTCATAAACTTGCTAAAAAAGGGGAAATGGAATTAGTTGAAATATTGGTGAATGAAATGACTGAATATTTTGGTCCACCCAATGATTTAATGTTTAATTCTTTAATTGCTGGATATAGTAAAAAGAATGATACGGACATGGTATTTAAGACTTATCAAAAGATGCTCAGCATAGGCATCAAGCCAACTAAAGACATTTATACTACCCTTATCTTTTTTCATCTTCGACGGAAAAATATTTACGAGGCATCTATTTTATATAAACAAATGACTGAGAAAGGCATAGAAAATGATAGTTATTTATTTGCTGCCTTAATTTATCTGCGCGGAATACTTGATGATTCGGAAGGTGCCAGGAAAACATACGATAAAATGAAAGCAGCTGGAGTTATTCCCAACACTATATTATTTAATCAGCTCATATATTCTCACGCTCGTGACAAGAAAGTAAATGTATCGCAGATCGAGGCTTTGTATCTCGAAATGTTGGCAGAAAAATTAGAGCCAAACCATTATACATTTGAGCTACTTATTGATGCGATGTCCAAAAGACATGCATTTGCAAAGATATGCGGAGTTTTTAATGAAATGTCCCAAAGAAATATCCCTATAACAGATGTAGCTTACAATTCTCCAATTCGTCATCATGGATTAGCAGGAAACACGGAACTTGCTTGGAAATTTTTTAACCGAATGATATCTGCTGGAATAGAACCATCTATGTATATATATACTTCTATAATATCTCTTGCTACTGCATCGTCCGATTTTGCAATAGCTATTAAAGCTTTTAAAGATCTTTTAACACGTGGTCTCAAACCCAATGTTCATGTTTATTCAGCCTTGATCACTGCATTGGTAAAATCAGGGAATACAGAAAAAGCAATTGAAATGCTTCATCATATGGTTAACCATGGTGTATCGCCTAATCATATAACTTTTACATCATTAATTCAAGGTTTTGCGATTAAGCGTAATTATGAGAAAGGTAAAGAAATATATGAAATGATGAAAAAATCAAACATTATTCCAGATAGATTCACATTTTATCATTTGGAGAAATTGTATAAAACGACTGGACACATTGAGGATATTAAAGAGTTGTATGAAGATATTAAAAGATACGGTATAGATCCTCAATCTCGTGATCGCATCCTGATAAAAGGGAAAGGCTCATATTACTGGAGATCAAGGACCTTGATCAAACGAAGAATTGAACGACAAAAAGCAAACATTAATCCTGAAGAGCAATATGCTATCAAAAAGCGGCAGCGTAAAATATGGAAAAGACGCAATCTAATACGAGAAGCAGCATTGCAAAGATTATATTCTAAGCTTCAAAGTAGTCAAAGTTTAGAACCATATCCAATATGGAAAAAAATATATATTCAAGAAAATTATGAAGATTTGCAACGATATAAAAAATCTGGATCATTTCCATTTTAATATAACAATTCCTTTATTTCTCTCTTGACCGGATAAAATATTTTACACTAATTAAATTGTGCTCTGATCTATTAAATTAGATGCTTGAGAGCACCCTTACTCATCTTAATTATAGATAACCATCATGCATCTTATCACTCG